TGCTTGTGGAAGCCAATGCTTCGCGGACGATTATGTCAATGTTTATCCGCAGCTTATTGGTTCGCACTTCAGCAACCATGTCTGTGTTGCCTCTCTCTTTTACGCCCAGGTTAGCGCATGATTGTCTTCTCTGTTCTACTTCTGGTTACTAGCTTGAGCTGTTATTCACCATTAAATAAGCGGGCTTTCTTCGTGCTTTCCAAAATTCATTCGCCTGAGTCCGTTCCTTTGTCTACTATTATAATTATTAATGCGTTTCCATGGCAGTCTTAGTCCTCTGCTCAAGCATGTGTCGTAGTAGTATATCCTATGATTGTGCCTTGACGGATGGTAGTATCTACGTTTTAAACTATAATGCGTGGTCAAGACGGGGGAATCTTGTAAATACGAAGATTTTACCCCATGGTTCTACGATGAAGGGGAAGAAACATGGAGCAAAGCAAGTGGGCATTGGAGCGAGTTGTTCACATGAGGTGGTTATGGTGAATGAGAAGAGAAGAGACAAAGTGTCATCCGAAGAAGTTATGAGCGTCCTCAAGTCAATGTCGGAACCTAATTTTGCTCTTTCCTACTTTAAGTCAGTTGCCCAGTTGCCGAATTTTGTGCATACGACCGAAGCATGCAATTACATGCTTGAGTTCTTAAGGGTTCACAGGAGGATCGGAGATATGGCTGTTGTCTTCGATTTGATGCAAAAGCAGATTATCAAGAGAAATTTGAATACATACTTGATCATTTTCAAAGCTCTTTCCGTCAAAGGTGGGATTCGACAAGCCCCATTTGCACTTGGAAAAATGAGGAAAGCTGGGTTTGTCTTGAATGCATATTCATATAACGGACTGATCCATCTACTGCTCCAATCTGGTTCTTGTCGAGAGGCTTTGGAGGTTTACAGAAGAATGGTCACGGAAAAAATAAAGCCTAGCATGAAGACCTACTCAGCGCTAATGGTAGCCTTGGGGAAGAGAAGGGATACTGGAACCGTAATGGGTCTATTGGAGGAGATGGAAACGTTGGGTTTGAGGCCAAATATTTATACATATACTATATGTATCAGAGTGCTTGGGAGAGCTGGGAAAATTGATGATGCCTATGGGATTTTGAAGAAAATGGAAGATGATGGATGTGGACCAGATGTTGTTACTTACACTGTTCTAATTGATGCACTTTGTGCTGCAGGCAAACTTGACAGAGCCAAGGAGTTATATACTAAGATGAGAACCAGCAGTCACAAGCCTGATCGAATAACCTACACTACCTTAATGGATAAGCTCAGTGACTGTGGTGACTTGGATGCAGTGAAAAAGCTCTGGAGCGAGATGGAAGCTGATGGTTATGCTCCTGACGTGGTTACTTACACCATACTTATTGAAGCTTTATGCAAATCTGGGAATGTTGAACAGGCTTTTGCTATGTTAGATGTCATGAGCACTAAGGGAATTTTTCCAAATCTTCATACTTACAACACACTGATCTCTGGACTTCTGCGGTTGAGAAGGTTGGATGAGGCAATGGAGCTTTTCAACAATATGAAATGTTGGGGTGTTGAACCTACAGCCTATACATATGTTCTTTTCATTGACCATTATGGAAAGTCTGGTGATCCTGGAAAAGCTCTTGATACCTATGAGAAAATGAAAAGTAGAGGAATTGTGCCAAGTATAGTAGCCTGTAATGCTTCTTTATATAGTCTTGCTGAAGTGGGTAGGATTAGAGAAGCAAAAGAAATATTCAATGAGATTCAAAATTGTGGGCTTGCTCCAGATTCAGTAACATATAATATGTTGATGAAGTGCTATAGCAAAGTGGGGCAAATAGATGAAGCCTTAAAGCTTCTGGTTGAGATGATGGGCAATGGGTGTGAGCCTGATGTAATTATAGTCAATTCTTTAATTGACACACTTTACAAGGCTGATCGGGTTGATGAGGCATGGGAAATGTTTGGGAGAATGAAGGATATGAAGCTTGCTCCCACAGTTGTGACATACAACACTTTACTTGCTGGATTGGGGAAAGAAGGGAAGCTTCAAAAGGCACTTGAATTGTTTGAGAGTATGACAGAATGTGGATGTCCCCCAAACATAGTAACTTTTAACACACTCCTAGATTGTCTTTGCAAGAATGATGCAGTTGATTTGGCCTTGAAGATGCTATATAAAATGACAACGGTGAATTGCATTCCTGATGTTCTGACTTATAACACCATCATCTATGGTCTGATCAAAGAAGATAGAACTGATGGTGCATTCTGGTTTTACCATCAGATGAAGAAATTTCTCTACCCTGACCAAGTAACTTTATGCACCCTCCTTCCTGGTGTTTTGAGGCTTAGGAGGGTTGACGATGCTGTTAAGATTGTTGAGGAATTCAAGCACAAGGTTTGTTTACAGACAGGCAAACAATTCTGGGAGGAATTAATGGATGGTATTCTAATTCAAACCAAATTAGAACAAGCCATTTTATTTGCTGAAAAATTAGCACGCAATTCGATTTGCCAAAATGACTCTATAGTTTTACCACTAATCAGAGTACTGTGCAAGCAAAACAAGGCCATGGATGCTCAAAATTTATTTGATAAATTCACAAAAACCTTGGGAATTCACCCAACCTTGGAGACATGTAATTGCTTGATGGATGGGCTTTTGGGATGTAATATCAATGAACAAGCCTGGGATCTTTATGCCGAGATGAAAAATATTGGTTGTGGCCCAGATATTTTTACCTACAACTTGTTGCTTGATGCACTTGGGAAATCTAGGAAGATTGATGAACTTTTTGAGCTGTACAAGGAGATGCTTTCTAGGGGATGCAAACCTAATGCAATAACCCATAATATTATCATTTCCGCCCTTGTGAAATCTAACAGCTTAAACAAAGCGTTAGATCTATACTACGATCTTGTAAGTGCTGATTTCTCTCCCACTCCTTGTACATATGGCCCTCTTATAGATGGTCTTCTGAAGGCTGGAAGGTTGGAGGAAGCATTGCAACTCTTCGAGGATATGTCTGACTACCAATGCGAGCCAAACTGTGCAATTTACAATATTCTCATTAATGGATTTGGGAAAGCAGGTAAAATTGAAACAGCTTGTGATTTGTTCAGAAGGATGGTTAAAGAAGGAATAAGGCCCGATTTGAAGTCTTATACTATTCTTGCAGAGTGCCTCTGCAAGGTAGGTAGAACTGATGATGCTCTGCACTACTTTGAGGAACTAAAGCTAACTGGCCTTGATCCTGACTCGGTTTCTTACAATCTTATCATCAATGGTCTTGGAAGATCACGTAGGTTGGAGGATGCTCTTTCTCTTTTCAATGAAATGAAAAGTAGGGGCATTACTCCTGATCTTTACACTTACAATTCACTGATTCTTAATCTCGGGATAGCTGGTATGGTGGACCAAGCGGGAATGATGTATGAAGAACTACTACAGGCGGGTCTTGAGCCTAATGTCTTCACTTATAATGCTCTCATTCGAGGATATAGTATGTCGGGCAATTCAGACCGAGCCTTTTCAGTGTACAAAAAGATGATGGTTGGGGGATGCAGCCCCAACTCGGGAACATTTGCTCAGCTTCCTAATCAATGCTGACTTTTTATCAGGTGGAGTCATTTGTTATGTGTCTATTTGATGGGGTCATCTGGGGTAACTACGGCCCAATATCATTTGAATGATATTGCATTCAAGTAGCTTGTAACTGGTTTACTCCAGGCATTATAACTTCTGGCCTCAACAATCTCGAGGACTATATGTATATTACTTTAAGTCTGGCAACGCCTCAACAATTTACAGCACCTGTCAATCAAATTGAACTGTGAGTATTCAACCCTTGCAGAATATATTTTACACCTTCCGAGACAGAATACAAGTTTGCAGTTGTTTCTATTGAAACAGTACTTTTGGTGATTGCAGGCCTACGCTCCCAATCAATGTACACCTTCATCTTAGATACTTGGAGGAGGAACAAGCTGTCGCGAGATACCATCACATGAAGACTCAAATCGATACAGTTTGTGAAAAAGTTGTAGTTATTCATACTGACCAAATAAGTACAGCCTTAAGTTCTTTGCTAAAGATTGCTGCCCTTCCTTGTGTGTACTTTAGATGAACAATTTGTATACGCTATTCGAAATTGCCAAATAGAATGTATTAGAGAATTGGTGAGTTGAATGGCAATATTACAAGCTTCAGAGATGATGAAATATAAGTTTGCATTTTCTGTGTAAACAGAATATTATTCGAAATATTTCCATCATCCACGTATCGAAATTTCTTAAGTGTGGCATCTACTTGAGTTCTTTGCACTGGGCGAATAAGGGGAAAAAAGGATTTATTTTATTCCTCGTACTCTATATAATGCACAAGATTTACATTAAATTTAAATTATTAAAAATATGATTCCCCTCACTAGTAGCTTAGTAACATACAAGCTTTTCTCTAAGTGAAAGATTGTGAATTCTATCCCACTTACAACTTTAAGCTATTGGTACCTGCCTTTTTAATTTAAATAAAAAAAAATTACGTGTCCCCTCCAATTATATATTTGTAAATCATATAGTTGTAAATATTTTAATACAAACAATTCAATATTCGTTAGTTATGAACACTGGAATGACTTATTTTTCAATCTCCATTCAAAACATGTCTAGTTGTTACCAAATAATATTTATAAATATTTTAATACAAACAATTCAATATTCGTTAGTCATGAACAGTGGTATGACTTATTTTTCAATCTCTATTCAATACCTAAAACATATGTCTAGTCATTACTAAATAATATTTTTAAAAAAATGAAAATGAGCAAAACGATTGCTAAAATACCTTTGCATTGGTCGATGGTTCCATATCAAATAATGAAATATGAAATCATCAATATCAGTATTAATAGATAAAACAAACTTCAATACACTATTCATTAATTATGAACATTGCTGCTCATTCCTCTAACTTCATGCAATCTAATCTAATTCAAATCAATAAAAGTAGGATTCCCTCCCATAACAGATTTGCGAAAGGCCCATGGAATTATTTATTATTCTAATAAAAATAGTGCTCAACAAACTAACTATATCTCTATCTCTGAACAAAAAGCACTGATAAACCAAATCAGGAACAGATTTCTAGCAAGTGTACTTGAAGGTTAAATAAATCACTCTACAGTTACACATTGCATTTCTTCAACTAAATATTGCTTCGGAATCCTAAACCAGCTATCTTGTTTCCAAAAATCAACATTTACTGGGAAAAAATTTTCCAACTCCGATTTCGGAGACTTGCAGGTATAAGGGAAGTCAGAAACTAAGCAACATGAAACAAATGGCATGTTCGTCATCGACCAAACAAAGCGTTGCTCCTCCATTCGCTGAAAATAAAGGAATTCAGACTTTCAAAGAGACCTTTTCTTCCCACGATATTTTCTTCTTTCCACCTTTATTGTCATTGGTTAAGCAATTGTGCAGCTTCTTTTTTATGCATGATTTCATCCACGCCAGCTCCTCCCTCCCTGTTCCTTCCTGCTAAATGATTGACTGTGTTAAAGGAAGTGAATGGAAACAAAATCCTAATCATTCTAGTTTTCAAAGTCCAAAATCCCTCAGCTCGGTTGTTTCTTCAAATTTGAAAGCAGAAGTTGGATTTTCCAGGAAATTCAATACCTCATGGACAATGTAATTTAGATCCTTCCTAATGAGCACATCAAGGGCATCAACATTTTGATCAACAGAGAGTTCTGATCCAACTTTGCTTAACTGTATCTTGGTTAGATAATTACATCGTTGCCTCAAGAACCTGAGAGCAGAATGCAGAGTCACAATTTATACAGAAACTAATAGATACAGTAACCGCAAAAGAACTCGTCGTGTTTCATACCTAACTTCTTCTACAAGTATTTCTCTCTTCTGCTCGTGAGCTTGCAATTTCTTTTTCTTTGAAATAAATTCCTGTCACGTTGTTGTAACTGGTAATCAATGCAAACTGGAGAAGACAAAAGCTCAACCAAACCTAAATATATTCTTCCCACTTCAAACCTTCAAATATTTCCACGGTTTACCAAGCCTTCAAATATTTCTAGATAAGAGTCATAAAAATCTGTAGGCAACAATAATGGAGTAACAAAAAGTATAAAACAGGAACTTTTTAGAACCTTCCTCCAGAGTAACGATGCAAACATTTTCAGACATAAAAAGATTCATTTCCACCTCGAAATTATTTCGCTTCAGTGGCATTACTTTGGGATTAAAAATGAGGACTTCTAGAATCAAAAAGCATAATGTAAGCCGCGAGACAAACTACGGCATAGAACACATACTACGAAAATCGAAAGTATAATTAAAGCAATTAAAATGGAACTCTAACCTTCTGCAACTCCAGAAAGTCTTCCAACAAGCAAAGGTATTTGCGCTTAACCTTCGAATCATTAAGGGAGCCATAAAATTGATGAGAATTGACAAAACCCCCTTTCATCTTAACCTTGAATTTTGAATTTTGAACGGAAGGAGCAAAAGAGCAGGGTCGAAGGGGAAGATTTCCAATAGTAATCACAGGAATAATATAAAACCTCGTTTTTTTCCGGAAGGGTAAAGTCAATTATGAGTATTTGGAGGGAATTAGAGGAAGAAGGATTCTGTATATGCATGTGAAAACAGAGCCCGAAAAAGACAGAAGAAATAACAAATGAGGGAAGTAAAGGATTGTGTTTTGTGAAGGGGAGGTGTGGTTGGAGGAGAATAGAAGACGACATACGCATGGAGCTTTGCCTTCAATGTATCGTCGCGTTGTTTTAAAACTATTTTGTTTTTCTCCATAAGGGAAATTATAGTCCAGCGGGGCCAGTTAGAGAGAGAAAGAGCACTGGAAAGAGAAAGGGATAGATATCTATCCATCTGTCTGACTTGAAAGCCTTGAAACGCAGAAAAGGCAGCAGATTGATCGTTCATGGGCTTGCAGCTGTAACCTTTCGCGAATAGGAATGGTGATGAGTGATGACCCTTTTGTAGCTGCTCATTGCGAGTCGCAAATGGAGGCATGAAATTACGAGAATACCCTCATGTAATTCCGGGACGCCTGCTTCCGCACTTCCAAAAGAGAGTCACGAATCCCAAAATTACCCCCGGAAAATTAGGGATTATCGTAATCGGGACTGACTTCGTTGATTTTTATTCGAAAATGGAAAGTAATTCTTCTCTCTGAGTTGAAAACTATCGCCCAAAGGAAAACAACACGATGTGATGACTTTGAACCTAAATTCCCCCAAAAGATTTAATTGTTTGCTTCCAAGCTTTTAAAATATAAAAATAATTATATCAGCATTTAAAATTGTATAGTCAAAATTTTTCATTCATGAGATTAGCAATGTTAAAATTAGAGAACTAAAAAAAATTAAATTTTTATTATATAGCTTTCAATTTAATTCCCAACAGATTGTTGGCGTCAAAATTTCGAATTTTGCCTGGGCTAGCACTGCCAGTGGGACACAATAAACAGGTAGACAAAAACCAACTCGTGGCTAGTCTAAGTTGCACATGAAGGACCGTGTCCACTGATAGCTAAATTGGGTGGAGGGGCTTCCCTAAGCCGTCCTCTCTAACGACAATCTGCGATTTAGAGGAAAGAAGGCAGTTGAAAGGGCGAAATAAAGCAATATTTTTCTTATGATTCAGAATATTGTAGGTAAAGGTAAAGGTAGCTGAAAAAAGGACCATGACCATCCGGACATATTCAAACCAGTGGTCCACAGTGTATATATAACCCTTATGAACAGCTGCACCCAAAAGGCCCATTAAATTTGGCTTTTCTTTGGTTTTGGTTCAGATTGATTCAATTTGTTCGTTTGAAGTGGATTGCTCTGCTGCTACTTCAGTGGACCGGGTGGGTTTCTTGAATTGCACCAGGATCATTGTCATGTTATCACATCCCTCGCCTCCAACAGTTGATGGTGCCAAACACCGATCAAGTACTCTCTCACATACGGTTGAGAGTTTCGTTTCCTGCATAATTAGATAATATCATGTCAATAATCAATTATCAATTATCTCATTAGAATAAGGTGTCTGTCAATCGAATCTTCACCTAAGTTACTACCATCACGTCTCAATCAGACACACATAATAAAATCTCACAATCTCTGGAAAAGAATGGTGGCGCCTAGTTAAATTAAGCAGAATCCTTGCTAAGAAGAACATTCAAACTTACCGACAGCAACTGTTCATGCACATAATCTACCAATTGCTGGCTGGATAAGCAATCCCTGAAATAATTAGAAATGGATCCCGTCACAAAAATTCTTGGATTTAATCAAGAGACTCATTGCAGGCGAAGTATAATATGGATTTGTCCAAAGCCAAATCCAGAAATCATATGAATGCTATGTAGACAAATGATAAGTAATAAACAAAACTAGTAAAGGCAGGCAGGCAGCATGTAAGGGCATGAGTTGCATCTTGCAATTCACAAGATCACACACCGCGTTGGTATTAGCAAAACCATCCATATCTTGGGCAAGAAACAAGAAACTTCTCCCATCCTAGTATCATCAATTCATTTTCCTCACCGGTCTTAAAATGAAAATCCCACTGGGTATGAAATTTTGAAAAAAATATAAACATCTGTCATACCCTACAAAACTACATCATAAATATCCAATAAAAGCCAGCATACAAAAGCATAAGACATTAAGAAGCATACCATATTCCGTCACATGCTAGCACTAGAAACTCATCTTCATCACAAAGCTCCACCTATAAAAATGTTCACAGCAAAACAATGTATCAATCATGACAGATGGATATCAAAAGTCAGGTACTTGAACACGTAACAGTGACAGTGAGTCAGAACCAATCATTTCTTTGCCGATTCTACCATAAGGGGAGAACAAGTTTGCTACAGATCTCTACATAAATTAGGAAGTTAGCAGAAACAAACTTACAGTGTTTATATCAGGATTGGCAGTCACAATTTGTTTATCAGCGGGCAGAAATTTATTCTGTTTAAATTCCATGTCACCTGCAGTAAATGGGCACCAATTAAGATTGTAGAACAATCCACCAGCCTACGAAAAAATAATCTATCTTCTCACTTAGATAACCATGTACAAGACACACAAGCAAGCATATAACATGTATCCATACGAATTAGAAATCTTCATTAATGTGGATTTAAAAAGATCTCCATGGAAAAGAACCTCCTTTGACCTAAAAAACAACCAACATAAATCCAAACAAAGTAATCAAGAAAAGAAGAAAAATGCCTATCAGTTTAGGTGCTTATTTATCATGTCCAAAATTTTCATATCTCCACGACTTACAGATACAAAGGACCAGGCTACAAGAAAATGAAAAAGAAAGGGAATATAATCTTCAAAAAGTCCAATGTCCATAGGTAATTACCTATAGCTCTTGCAAGATTTAAACTGCCATTAACTCGCCCCGCATGAATAAAACCGCCAGCTTTTAAGATTCTTTCCTTCTCAATCTCAAGATCAGGTTTGTGGTCTCTAGATAAATTATATGCCTGTAGTTGTAGCCCAAAGTATGATAGTCATCCCACCAAGTCGCCAACACAAATGACAGCATAGATATTTATCTGTACTTGCACATGGATATTTCCATGAAAGCAGCGACTATAATTTTTTCTGATACAAATGAAGAATTTCCATTGTAAAGTTACCTGACCCTTCCTAGATATCACACATCTTGAATCCCCAGCATTTGCAACAAGAAGTAGGTTGTTTCTAATTACTGCAACACAGGCAGTGCTTCCTGAAGTAGGTCCAGCAAAATCAGAATGAGGTCCCTAGTAATAACAAATACGTTCAAATCAGAGTATTAAAAAAATAAAAACAAAAGGAGAAATACAGAAAAAATATAAATTTACTTGAGATGCAAAAAACCAGTTCATAGAAAAAATTTAGGAAAAATATAGCTTTTGATCCTTGAATTTGTTCCTAATTATCAACTCAGTCCTTAAACTTTGACTCAAAACAATTCAGTCTTTCCATTTTCTTGACTTGATACAACTCAATCCTATAATTTCCTAACTCAATAAATTACAAGGACTGAGTTATACTAAGCTAAAGTTCAAGGATTAAATCAATAATTAAAAGAAAGTTTAGGGACTAAAAGTTATACTATCCCAAAAATTTATTAACTTAAAAAACAATTTATAATTAATAAAAAAAAACTAAAGTGATGGTGCTGAAAAGAAAACTTGAAGGCGTCACTCTTCAAAATCTCATACACACCTCCTCAAAGGCCCAATCATCAACCTGGTCAGTACCATCACTGCTTCGTGGAGACCAAATCAATCCTTCTATCATCCCAGTAAACTTGTTTATCTTATCACCTAAGACAGCTAATTCCCTCCATCCCCTCTGACCACGCATCATCTCATCCATTCTGTATAATAATAGCATAACAGTTTAAACTTTTTTCCCAATGTTTTCACGCCCAGAGCAGTGGGAAATACATAGAAAGTGTTGGCGATGAACTTATGAACAGTTTTCTTTTGGCTTTCTGTTTTAGGAAAAAGGGCGGGAGGAGAGTTGATGTTGTCACACTTAATACCTACATCATAACCAGCAACTCACAACTTGGCATTACAAAATGCTAATTACATCATCATCATTACTTCACTCACTCAAGTGATTGGAACAAATCCATAGGACTTGCGGATTGAGACCAAAGAAACCCTCACGTCTTTGTGTATTGAAATGACATTTTCTAGAAGAACTAGGAAGTGAAATTTTCGTTCAACACAAAAGTTTGAATGGTATGACCAAGACTAAACAACACAGTAGCATGAAATATGCCTCAGTGATGAACTTGTGGAATAAAGAACACTGGAACCACCAGTTAAGTCATTAAAAAAAGGGACCGTGTTTTTTCATCTGACCTGAAAAAAGCTTTCTGAAGAGAGGTTCCTATATCTCCAGCTGTATATGCTTCACTTTTGAGCACCTGTTGGTGAAGATACTTAGCACAAAACTTAGCAACCACCTTACCTGAAAAGTTTAGGAATAAGTGAGCATCCGTACAACAGCATCAACTGCAAAATAAACAGCAGTCACCCTCCCTTTCTTTCCCAGGTACGAACCAGAGAATTTGGTAGTAAACTCTACACATTCTATGAGTAAAACTTAAGTAAACAAGATTTGACAAACAAGGACCTCATATTGCTCACAAGAGAATGGTCTTAAAAGGACAAGGAAAAAGCAGCTACCTATTCAAGGGGAAGGGGAACATAATCCAGAAGCGTGATCACTTTTTTAAATAGTCAGAGAGCTTGGAAAAGAATTTCTGCTTTTAATTTTCTGTATCTTAGAGAGGTGGGAGAGATCTTCTCCAAAAGGGAAATGAAAAAGAAAAGGACAAAAAAATATTACTGTAACATGGGGAGAAGACGCCATTAACAAGATATTAAAACTGGCACTCTCCTATCAACTCAAGTAGAGAAACCACTTCAAATCTTACCTCCATGACCATCATAAACACCAAAAAACGAAGTGGACGCATCAAGATCTGGATAAGCAGCATGCTAGCAGAAGAGAGAAGAGAAAAACCAACAGTATATTAATGGTTTTAACTTAAAAGCAATCAAAATCTAACAGAATTCAGTTAACCAAGTCCAAATTCCAAAAAGAGCAGTATAGTAATTCATTTCTCCAGAAATAACAATTCATTGGACCGAAAAACTATTGCCCATAAAAGCAAGTAAAACCCAATTATGCCATAAACTAAATAGTTGAAGGCCATTTGATAAATTATCAGATAAAGCTGAAGACAATCCCTAGTAGACAAAGAGCTTAATATTAAGGGAACCTTGTAGCTACATTTGTGTGACAGAGTTGGAAAAGATCATGTGCGCGCGCGCATATGTATGTATGTATGTACTTGCTTCTAGCAAAATTGAGGTGTAGAAGCCCAAAAAAAAAAAAAAAAAAAAAACCATACAACCAATTATTATATTAGAGGAAGCAAGTTCCTCCTGTCTATTTTCCAAACAAACAAAACAACAATAACAAGTCTTATCCCACTAAATGGGATTGACTACATAGGTTGCATGACATTATTGTACTCTATCAACAACCAAATCTGAAAAGCATTTCCATAAAACCTAGCTATATGCTGAACTTCTTAAGAGGGACAAGCTGAGCCGTAAACCCCATTACTAATGAAATTATCTGCTAGTCAATGTATACATACCAGTACTTTAAAACTTTGGAAGGCTAATGGGAAAGAGAAAGGAGTATTGGGTAACAAACTTTATCTCCTTGCATTGCAACTAGACAAACAAATGAAAGCAATCTGAAAAAAAGTGTCAAACAGAGTTCAGACTTCAGAATTTATGTTGGTTCACACCTTATACAGCCTAGCCTACTTTTACTACATCTCCCAAGGTAACTTCTTACCAGTTATGATATGGGACATTGATCAGGCAAAGATATTCACTTCACAGGATTCAGGTTCATAACCAAACAATTATTCAAGTTATAGAATACTCACAGCATCTTCCATTGTTGCACGCCAACCTTGCATGGATGATAAACCATATCTAAGATAGTTGTTCTCACCATCTTCAGAAAACTTCTCAGTTTTGGGACTGCTAAGATATATTCCCATTTCTATCTGAATTAAAAGGGAAAAACACTTCACTGTGAACAGAAGAATAGATAAGAACTTGCACTGAAACAAGTAATAGAAAATAAAATCTCAATTTCATTTAAAAGCATGCCTTATGACTGTAAATGCTACATGGAGCAGAGAAAATTAGAATCCAACAGGCAAATCAAAATTTTTCTCTTTAATGAATCATAATGTGATGGTGATATCGATCAAGCAACCTGTATGGGAGATGTCAAGGGTAAATGCAAGGAATATCTGAATGGTGAGAAAATGATATTAAAAAAAAAAAACTCAATTAGAACTTCAGCAATAAGTGATTATCAGTTTTAAATGGAAAATATTTGAAAGCATATAAAGATTAGATAACAAGACCAGATAAATGCATAAGGTGTTCTCATCCTATTACAGAAGCGGATGGCTGAGGAGTACAGGCGAGAGCTAATGTTAAAAGATACATGATCAAGCGAGGGTCCAAGCAGCAACTAGAGGATAGGCAGGCACACTCAAGGAGCAAAAAGCGAGCATCATACCATAGTACATACAAAAAGGAAACAAAAAACCATAAATTTCGTTAATATAACATGTACTTTGTGTTAAAGGGAAAATGTTTTACCCAGAAAAAACCATATTTGGAGGAAATTTTAGATAACTTGGAAGTCTTAGTATACTATAAGGACTGTGGTATATGCTGTAGGGTTAGGGACGACAAATCCCTAAGATCGCAATAGACGACACAGGGACGATCAACGTTACGGAACAAAAAACATGTACAAAATACAATCATGGATACTGATTCAAACTCCAAACATGAGGTAATGATTTTTTTAACCAGATTAGCGAAATCATATCTTCATTCAGCGAAGCGTCAGCCAGAACATTACAGAGCCATTTTTCGCATCAGATGATTACCTTGATTTCAAAAATCAAAATATAGTCGGAATTCCTAGACAAAACCCGCGAGTTTTAAGACTTTCGGTTCGAAGATTATAGTTATGGAAGTTAACAGAAGCTTCAAGCACGCGAAGCTGCGGTGCATCGCTTCACACTAAAACATCAATTGACTTGCAGTATAAAATCCGAGACCCTGAAGTGATAGCGGATGCCACTTCTGGTTTTGGATGAGAAAAAAACGTAACCCACTAGGGAAGGGAAAAAAACGCAAAAAAAAAAAATAGTAATCCAGATCAATCAGAGCCACAAAAGGTAAAATCAAGGAAAACCCAGATGATAATCCAACCCTTTAATGAATTAAACTGGGAGGGGTACAAAAACAAAACGAAAAGAAATATTACAACTCATAAGAATAATCCATAATTCAGAGCGTAGCCACTTAACCGGCGTGGCCTCTTCCGCGGAGTCGGAGATCAGCACCAAAGTGACAGCGAAAGAAAATGAAGGCGACTTCAGAAGTAACTCTGAGCAATTTAGGAAGATATTTTTTTCTTGGAGAAGAGAGGGGGGAAGTGAATGATAGACAGTAAGGAGCTAGAGAAAACGACGGCTTTGGATAAAAAGGGGGAAAAAAAGATAGAATGAAAGGGGAAACAAAACGCCAAGCGCTACTAAGAAAAAGAGAGGACTGCGCAGAAAAAGGGACTGGGATTGGACTTCGTGAATTTCCGGGTGAGTGCTCGTGGCAGACGACGATGCTCTCATGCCTTGACTCCCTCTATCCCGCTCCTTCCGACTTTGTTCTCATCCCGTTCATGAATCATGATCTTGTCCGTTATTTTTGTCTTCGAAGCTTTTATTCGCTGGGGTTAGACAAATTCGGATCAAAATTCTATAGGATTTACCCTCTAAAATTTTCTAAATTTAAAAATATTTGACGATTAAATCAACGTTCGACATCCGACAATCTTGTTTTTTTATAGCCAAAGGGGCAAAGCCCAAACAACTTTCACAATCTTATTATATATTACATATAACAAATAAAACCATGTATTTTATTTAAGTGACTTTTAATACTGTTATGCTATTTGATATCAAATACTTTTAATTTTTTGTTTTACATATATATTATACAATTATATTGTCCTACGTTTATATCGCAGCTAATAAATTAAAATCTAACACATTTATCGTCATTTTATATGTTCAACGGTTTAAAACTCACACATCCAAAAAATATATAGAGTGAATTTTAGAAAATTTTGATTCATAAAATATCCCCATTCTTAGGTTTTTTTTTTTTTTTTTTAGGGTTGAGATATAAATTTGCCTTCGAAGTTTTCATTCAAGCGTGTCTTACATACTTAAATGTTTTCTGGCACAATATCACCTTATTTCTCATTTTGGTACAATATCACCATGCCATTATCTTTGATTGCTGTTAACTTTGAAATTCTGACCATTTTATGCTATCTTGAGCTACCACCTCACGTTCCATGCATAAGCGATCAAAAATCTGAAGACCAAAAGGCTGCAAGCATGTAGGGGTTACGGTTCTTGGATCTAAACAGATTTTGGAAGGCTTGAAATTATCTCTGTTTGTGACTCTTCAAGTTTCTTTTATAGTGTTGTTCTGGATTTCTTTGTTTGATTTTAATACGAAGTTTTAGTTTTTTTCTCTAACCGTGAGAAAGTCCATGTTGAATTTTTCATCGTGTTTTTAAATTTTTATCCACTCGTCTTCTGATTGAAAATCCAAACGAGGCTTTTTTTATTATTATTATTATAGAGATGAATGTTTGCTTTGTTTCTTTAACTGAAGAATGTCGTCCCTATATGTCTATTAGAGAAAGCTACGAGCATGTTGGCTCAATCCCTTCCATAGCTTTAATTCCCAACTTCTTCAAAGCAACGGGTATGCTTTTGAAGCCTTTCGAACAACTCTTGCTGCAACACCACACAGACTACCTCATTGCTGTATTCTTCTTCCCATGGGCAAGTGATTCTGCAGCCAAGTTTGGGATTCTAGGGATTGTAGTCAAAATCATTAAAACCAAACAATAAAATCAATAGATCCCAGAACGAAAAAAACAAAAACCAAAAATCATTGAACAAAACCATGGCAAGGAAGGATTCGAAGTCAACAAAGTCAATATGGGTATAGAATGATGCTCTCAGTGAACAAATCGTTGAACAAAAACATGGCAGGGAAAGGATTCGAAATCAATAAACTCAATATGGGTCTAGGATGATGCTCTCAGTGAACAAGTCGTTGAACAAAATCATGGCAGGGAAAGGATCCGAAAGCAAAATTGACAACGAATCATTGATGACGAGGACAAAATCGTTGAACAAATCTGAGCCTGCCAAACCATTGAACCTAGAAATCGAATAGCGTACAAATCCATAATGCTCGAGGACTCATAACGAGAAACCCATTGTTGCTAACCCAGAAACCCATCAAACCTATAAAATCAGAAAGAGTTCGTGAAAAACCCATCTTGTTCTTCTTTCTCTTCAAAAACCCACCCAGCATCTTCTTATCATCCCTTTTAGCGTACAATTTCTCCCTGGCTGTGGGTTTGTGGGCTCGTCCTCCTCTTCTACCTGGAAGCTTGACGGAGAAGAAGGTCAAACGGTGATGATTGAGCGCTTCAGTGTTTCAATTATGGCTTCTGGATTTTTCATGGAAAATGAAACGGAGAAGAAAAGGAAGACAATGGGTTTCTTTTCTCTCTTTTTTCAATGCATGAAAATGAACACGTTGGATCTGTTTCTTTTTTAAATTTTAAATTTTTTAACGTTCCATCTAGGCAGCTATCAACACTGCACATAACAATCAAAGTTAATATACTGTAAACACGGTCAAACCTGAACGATTTGGCAAAATTGTATTAAATTGAAAAATGTTAGGATAATATTGTACGTAACAAAATTTAAAAATACTAGATGCCCCTGTATGAAAACCTTAAAGATAAATTTATACATTAACCTTTTTTTTTTTAATGCCAACTTGTGACCTGTGAGTTTGGAGTGCTGAGTTATCATTTATTAAGCAAGTGGTTGCAATTAAAAATTACTCCTTCCATCTGAAAATATAAGATATTTTTTATGTGAAGTAAGATGTTAAAAAATATAAACTATTTTAAATATTTAAAGTTCAATTAATGATATTTTTAAAAATATCTTAATTAAGGGTGTAATTAATAAATTTATTAATTAAAACACCCTATTAAATATAGATAAATATAAAAAGAATATGTAATTTTAAAAACTTAAGAAAATATGATTAGGTTAAAAGTGTCTTGTGATGATGAATGGAAAGAGTATCCCTAATACACATGATAAATTAAATTTAGAGAACATTATCTATTACTCTATTAACAAAATTATGCTTTTTTGGCCTGTATATGTGTCTTCTAGTTCTAGCTACTATAGTACTAATTCAAATTATAATTTTAGCTAATAAACAAAAACTGCCTATAGCGATGAGAAAAGGTACTCCTATTCTGAAAAAGCATACATGATTTTTCATGCAAATACACTTGAGTTTTAAAACTGAAACACAATTCTATGTTTAGCCCCAAAAAAATCACAATTTTATAACTTTTTAATAATGTAACTGAATTAAATTTTATTATGTGATATTTTGATGTACTGATATACTAATATTAGCTTTATATTCAACATTTTTTAAAAAATAATTTATATTCAACATTTTTTAAAAAGAATCATATTCACATAAATTATAAAGGAAGAACTAATTTTTACTATTTTATAGGTTCAAATTCTCCTAAAACACTTAAGAAAATAGTTTTTTGGTTAACACAAAATTAAGTTTGGATTTGGGGCTCGTCAAAATTATAGTGGAGTATTAGAATGAAACACATGAAAAAAAAATTATTCTTAATTATTTTTTAGGACGGGACATAAGTATTTTTTAGGACGGAACATTCTTAATTATAGTTGATGGATATGCGCGCATTTGCTCGCCACGAAAGGGATATAATAATAAAATAAAATAAATGCCTGTTTGATGACTTTAACAATACCACAGCACACGCCTAATTTTTAGCAAGGGCGGTAAATGTGGATAAATAAAGTTGCAAGTTGCATGCACAATATAGCGTGGCATCTTTTCAAAATCCTGTTTGATTTTTTTGGCCAAAAAATCCTGCTTTATTTAAAAGATAGAATATTATATAATTTTTTTAATCGTTCTATCAACTATATCCAATATTATTTATTTCTCTCGCATTAAAACCAATAAAAGCTCTGTCAAATAAAAAAACCATTGAAAGCAAAAGATGTGGTGGTGGAGGGACGCTCCAATATTAGCCTTAGGTGTATCCTTTGATTCTTGAAAGAATTATATTAAAGTTTTAAATAAAAAAATTAATTATTATAAAGTGTAGTGATAATTGAATTAAGAAAATTGATAATTAATTGTGTTGTGAATTTTTTTAATTCAATTATTAATAAATTTTATAATAATTAATTTTTTATGTAAGATTTAAATGTAATTTTTTCCTGATTCTTTTAGTGGGAGACAAGTCAACATGAACTTTCGGCCACCACGCCAACAACGCGGATAGGAGATCTCTATCTACTGTACGATTTATTTAGCCCTAATGAGATTTCGGAATTTTGACAATATCTTTTGTGATTCATCATTCATCTCCAATTTTTTTTTTTTTTTGGTGTAGCATTCGTCTCTGATTTTAATGCTAGTATTTGTTTTCTAAAGATTTCGCCCCATGCTTCACGATTTTCAAACTTCGCTGGCCCCACAAAAATACAAATAATAATTGCTGCTTTCCCACATGTGTATATTTTCATTTGTTCTTTCATTAGGGTGTGTTTATATTTCAATTAAAAAAATTAATTATTAAAATGTGATGATGTTTTGATAAATTTTAAAAATTGGTTATAATAAAATTAATTATGTTTGGATAATTTTTTCACAATCAATTTTAAGTAGATAATTCTACTATTAAAAATGATGAGATAATGATATTCAGAATTGATTTTTTAAAATGAAATAAATTTTAGCTTGTTCCAAATGAAATTTAAAAAAATGAAGATGTTTAGATAAAATTTTTTAAATTCATGATTTTAAACCTATAATTGATTTTAAAAAGATATCCAAACGGGCCTTAGAGATAATAATATTTAAGGTATTTTCAGACATTAAATAAAAACATATATTTGAATAAGAATTTGGACCACAGGTCATTGTATTTAAAGAATTAGTTTCTTCCACTAGATCAAATTATTATTGATAGTGCCTTTTAAACATATACCAATCCAATTGGGTTTTTTTTATAAAAGAATTTATATGCCTAATCTTATATATTTGATAATATATTTTATTTAATAAAATTAAGATAAATGGATGTTTTTATAAATTATTTATTTTCATTCATTCTATAATAAATTTTTGATATTAATATCATCAATACATTAAAATTCACATATCATAGTTTGATTGAATATGAATATATTAAGTGTATAGGATGAAGTATTCTCTTATCTGGTTTTTAATTATAGTATTGCTATATAAATTGAGTTTTCCAAACTTAAAACCAGCAAGACAGCCTTGTAGCTCGAAAACTATCAACAAAAATTTCACGTTCATGAAAAAATTTGACTATATACTCACGACAATGTGACAAATTATTATTGCACTTGTAGCAACATCACAAACTTAGCCAAAAATTATTTTTATAAAAAATGAAGCAACTGAATCAAGCTATTTGCCATATGCAATAACATCACAATTTAAATTACTATTTCACTTGAATTGCCACATAAATTCAAACAA